ATGATACCACATCAACTGAGGATGAGCTTGTCGATGATATTCATGTATGGTTTTATGGTTTGATGTTAATGTATTTAACGAGTTGAATTTTAATTTTTATAGAATTGTTAAACTACTGGTATCAATCAGATAACGGGTGTTAATCAATCTCAGGGAGGAAAAACTGTGCCATCAACTGGTGTTGATCAAGATAACCAACCTCGGGAGAAGGAAACCGTGCTATCAACTGGCATCGATCAAGGTAATCAATCTTGGAAGAAGGAAACTATGCCATCGACTGGCATCGATCAGGGCAATCAGTCTCAGGGGGAGAAACTGTATTATTGACAAGCGTCGATCAGAGTAATCAACCTGGGGAGAAGGAAATTGCGTTATCAATGGGTGTTGATCAGAGTAATCAATCTCAAGGGGATGAAACTTTTTCATTAACGAGTGCCGATCAGAATTATCAACCTCGGAGAAGAAACCCCCCTCAAAATTTGAAGTTAAATAAATTTTTCAGAGTGTCAAAGGGAAAGGTTGGAAAGATTGTAAAGGATGTGCAATTTCATATTAACAAGGTAATATTTTAATGATATTTATGCGCTGTTAATTATATTTAATTAAAATATTAATGGTAAATTTTTAAAGAAAAAATTAAAAAATCAGCAAGATGAAGACGAGGGAGATGAAGATCTGCCTGATTGTGAGAAGTGTTACGGAGTGCAGAAACAATTTTGTAAATTTTGTGGATGTTTCAGATGTGAACGAAAAAGTGATCCAGCTCATATTTTATTATGCGATGGTAATTGTGGTAATGGTTATCATACCTATTGCTTAAATCCTCCGATTGATGAAATACCCTCTGGAAATTGGTATTGTGATAAGTGTAGATCTTTAAATACGAAACAGGTATTATTTGAATTTTATTCGTTAAGTGGAAAATGAAATTTACATAGTTGTAATAATAGATCGAGTCTGAATTTTCTGGATCTAAAGGAAAGAAAGTGGTTTTAGCAAGTGATGAGATTCAAATTCCATTGGAGAGGAATGATTCGTTGGGATTGAGTCAACCTATGTCTGGAATTGTAATATCATCGCAGGGTTTATTGACTGATATTGATTCCTCAAAGTTAGATAATGATGTAAGTATTATGTTATGATATTTATTATAATTATTTTATCTAATAATCATATTTTTAGAAT